TTTTTTTTTCTTCAGTATGTCAAATATTGAATAATTATTATACAGTGCACATAGGAATATTCTGTAGGGAGCAAAACTTCCATAGAAGAATGGGCCAAGGTACCTAATGGGTGTATTATTTCATAGATTTCATAGACATTAGGGCTGGAAGGGACCTCGAAAGATTTTTGAGTCCAGCCCCTGCCCGAGGGGGAGAAAGAAAAAATATATTTATACTTTTTATAATTTCCTGTTCTAATCCATGCTTAAATTTAGCTTTTTCTGTAAAAAAAAATAAAAACATGACCCATTTGAACCTGACTTTCAACCAACTTAGATTGAAGCCTACTGGCTCAATCTGCAGATGCTCAGCAGCTCTGAAAATCAGGGCTTTAGTGTTTTAAAAGGTTTTTAGGTTTTATAGTTATAATGCCTAGTAAAAAGAACTGGTTGTTGGATGATATAACCCAGAATCTTTAATAAGAAGTTGGAAATGTGATGGGTACAAATTGAAGCACAGTGGATATATGAGCAGCGCATATCAAGGTGTTGGTCCTTCTTTACATAAAAAGAAATACTCTGACTGCCATCCTGTAGCTGGATCCACAGGGCTTGTCTGTGCTGATCTGAGTGCATAAGGATGTACATTATCCTGTCCCCCATCTGGTTACCCAAGTTGTTAAGTCACTTCCTGTACGACATGTGGTGCCCTTCTTCACTGCAGCTTCCTTACTATTATTGGTTCCTGTCTCCTTTTCCTGCAGCTAATCTGCTCTTTGCACAGCCTCACCAGGCACGTTGTATATCGAGGCCTGATGTCACCAGAAGAAATTCTCCCTCTTTTCCCAGGAAATTTCCACCAGAATTTAAAAAACCTCTTAACCAAGATAATCTTGGAAAACATGTAAGTGTCAACACCTGCTTTTCAGTTGATTTTACTTGAGAACATAGAGCTGGAGTTTATCTACCCATTCCAATACATATGCAACTGGAAAGTAGCAGCAGATATTAAGTTAGCAAAGGGAGACTTTGCCACAGTTTCTGAGCATCTCATCATGGCCAGGTGTAATGTGGTACTGAGCTTTTGCCTGAGAGTTCAGGAGAAGATGTCTGAAAGATCCTCCAACCCTTGCACATAACTAGATCTCCTGACCATGTTCTTTAAATCCCTTGCAATCACTAATGTTTTTATTTTTACAACTTGTCCCTGGGACAGAAGAGGGTTTTCTCCATTTTACTTATGGGTATCAGATGCAGCAGGTTAGATTCATAGATGGAATCATAGATTAGCACTGAATTATCTAGCTTTTAGGTTCCTGCCTGCCTTATGAAATTCACAGCCCTGAGTTAGGTACCTCCACTCCCTGACAATGTATGGAGAGAATCGGGCAGATAAGAATGGGTTCATGAAAGCCAGTAGGCTGAGTGGAAAATCACTTTGGGTGTTAGCATGAAATAACTAGACAGTATGTGAGCACAAGAATGACTAGTGGCCTAACTAATGTTCTGCAGACCCATACTCACTCTTTCACTCCCTGGTCCAGCAAATATTTTACGATACAGGTAAAACTTTAAGCGCTATTGGTAAAAACTTTACCCCTGCACTTTATAGACATCTCCAGGATTAGGCATTACATTTTCAGAATCTACACTGAGGACTTGGGCACCTCTCTTCTGGGCTAGATTCATAAAGGAACTAAGCAATAGATCTGCAAAAGGATTAGGGTGCTGTAGCACACAGCATTGCAGCATCTAAACTGTGAGTATGTTGTCACCCAGTGAACTCTGCTGTCACAAGGGAAGTGCCCAGGAAAGGTAGGCACCTGAAGAAAGGATCTGCAAAAGACAGCCACTCAGCAGAACTTGCCTACAGAGAGGGTAAAACTGAAATGCTGCCCCTTTGGGGGATTTTGGTGCCTCCAACTAGGTTGCAGGGAGGAGCTGTCCACTGAAGAGGCTTCACAACCTACTGGAGTTGGAGTACATTTATGTACCTTTCTCACAGGTTAGAGCCAGGAAGTAGAGATGATAGCAATACCCTCCATTTATTTTAATATTGGAGCACTTAGCTGTGGGAGACCCAAATTCCAACACTCCTGTCTGGCAACACTCCTGCCCTTTGAGCAGCCAGCAGGAAAAATCCTGGGACTGTGCAGGCAGGCATCCTGCTGGAGCCTGGCCAAGCCCCCCTCAGCTCAGTTCTGTGCAAGAGAAGGGAGGGCTGCTCTAGCACCCCCCAGCTTCTAGCCTAAGCCACTGCAGGCGTGCACCTAAATTTTCTCAGTCCAGAGAGAATGTCCTGTCACAGACCAGTTCGGCCTAGTCAGGTTAGATGAACCTGCAAAGATTAAATCAGTTCAGGCTTAGGCTTTGTGAATGTCTGTCCCTAGCCTTAGTGGTTCTATACCTGATCTTACAAACCAGCATTGTTTTTGTCAGGGGATCAGCTGTGCCAGGATGTGTTCCTTGCCCAGCCGATCCAATTAATTAGCAGGTACAGATGTCATTGGAACTGTTGTTTGGCAGGATTGGACTCCTGCCATTCCTGGGGCATCAGGGGCTTGATCTTGGGGCACAATGGCCCCAAGTGCCTGGCCCCATTCTGGGGCACACATCTGCAAATGCACAGTGATGAACCCCATGGAGTTTCTTGCTCTGAAGCATGAAACACACACTCTGGAATCATCTGTCCAGGGTGGCTGGAGAGCATGGACATCTCTGGGCTGTGAGGACTGTGCCATAACTGAACATACCTCTGCAGTGATAAAGCAACACAAAATATTAATGGGAATTGTTGCATTCCATTTTTTGGACATTTGAGGTGTGACAAAGGGCAAAGACATCTGTTTGCTCATGTTTTGCAGTTCTGTGGAACAACAAGGGTGACATCAGTTTGCAGATGTGACCTGTCCAGGGTCAGTCAAGATGTTTGGCAGAGATTAAATTTGAACCCAGTTATCCTGAATTTCAGGCTGGTATCCTAAGCAAAGAACCATCCTGCCTTCAGTCAGAATATCTCAAGATTTGGGAGAAAGTATTGTGTTTTACATGTTAGTTTTTATTCCTCTTGGTTGTCAGTTTCCAGGAGGAGCCTGAGGAGAAATATATATATCATCCGTCTTATCATCCATCTATTGCACTGATGTGCTGATGGGCATACCTGTATTCATCCTACGTATCCTGGGCCAGCATTCCTGTTTTATTTTAGTGCATTCACCCCATGGACTTTTTCAGGTGCAACAACAGAGCTGCTATCTGCTACAGTGTATAGTCTCATGGGCGCCTTCCTGCTGACCTAGTGGAGACAGTTCTTTACTGCTGATGAGTTGTTGTTTTTTTTCCCTCTCTCTCTCTCCATTCCACAGCTCTGCCTGGAGGAATGAAGCTCAAGCAAATCAGAGTAAGTTGTCAATTGCATTTTGTAGCAATTTAATATTCCTAAAATGGTTTACAAGGACTTGGAATTTAGAACAGTGAGTTGCATTAAGACAATATGACCTTGACTACTGAAGCATAGTGCAGAGAAACTAAGTTTAGCTTTACAGTGATTTAGCTAACATACCAGAAACGCATTAACCCACATGGAGCCCCATGGAGCTAGCTTGCTTCTGGGTACACAGCTAGCTCATTTTAAAGCAAGCTTCTCTACCCCATGTTGCAGGCTACAGTGGAGACACACCAAGTGTTTTCCACACTTGTCTCTTGCTGCTGCTTTTAGGAAAATTAAACCATGCTGCCATCTTGCAACCTTCCCAGGGGTTGCTAAGGGACTCAGTGTAAGCATTTCCCCCAAATACCTCTTCTGGGAAGTGCCACTGTAGGCGACTTAAAAAAAATACAGTTGTTCTCCTTTCATACATGTTTTGATCTTTCACACAGCTAACAATAGCAACACTGAAAGTCTGATCCATTTTAAGGATGCACACAAAAGCCATTTGTTCTAACTCTATACAACGTCAAGGAGGTGTAATATGGATGCAGGCACTTAGTTCGCTATTTTAGTTTGCTTGACAACCTTAACAGCTTTTATTCTGGAGAACAGTTTGGGTTCTCTGAGGACACTCCTGGCCCCTTACTGCCTCCCTGCAAGCAGATAAGCCAAAATTTTTGGTCAAACTGGAAGAAGAAAATTTCCTGGAAAGAAGATCTCACTTAAGCATCTTAAAAAGGGGGAGTCTTTCACAGCTGCAGAATCTTAATGGCAATTACAGCAATTGCTTGCAGGGAACAATTGCTTGTAATGTCAGGCCAATAGTTAATGTAGCCTTAACACTGCAATGGGATCTAGAAAATGAGGAAGAGAGCCAACACGATGTAACTAATCCACTTTCCAGGGGCTCTGTACTGATGGTGACTCTTGGACCATGTTCAGGAACCTCTGCTCTGAGGTTTCTGGGTTTTATTTTAACTAGTGCTAACTGGTGAAAAGAATATTTCACCATGTCTGAAAGGAGATTATTTTATGGGAAAGAGTGGATTACTTTAGCACTATATTTACGAAGCAGCTGTCATGTCTTACATAGGGGAAGATAGAATGATTTAAATAGCGGGCGTTGCAAATGATCAATCAACATAGCCATAAAATTTGGACAGTTTTCTGCCCTTCCAAAGGTGCCAGCAACGAATCCTTGCAAATTAAAATACAAGACTTAACGGATGCATTTTGTGTTATGCTGTGAACGCTGCCAAATGCTGGCTCTGGTGGACTGTACATGGGAGCTGGTTCCAGTCATGGGCACTTGTCAGCCAAGGCTGTGCTGCCCCCGGAGGTTAGCTCTGGGGAGAGATGGAAAACACCACTGTAATGATATGAGGAACAATTTCTCCTTGAAGTATCAGTAAGCAAGCTATCAGTTGGAGTCAGAGCAGGGAGGATGGCTATATATAGGCAGAGTCTTCCAGTCTTGTGAGGGAACCGAGGAACATTACACTAGAGCCTCCGTACAAGTAATCGGAGTATTAAAAGCCACCTCTGCTTATGCAGGATTTGAGAGAGGTTTGTGGGGGCCAGTGAGATAGCTAGGCATTGCGTGAAAATCCTGGTCACTGTGGGAGGAAAGTCCTGACGCTCTGCTTTGTGAGTAGGCCTGGTGCCATTAGTTTTTGTGTCTCCAGTTCTTTCCAATGCCTTCTGTTTGTTGGGGAATCTGGAAACCAGAGCTCATAAAACTCTGAAAAAAATCACTATGTATGAAAGCTGTACAGTAGCAAAACCCTAAGACATTAAGGATAGGACTTTAAAAGAGCCTCAGTGAATTAGGTGCCCAGCTCCCACTGCAGTTCAATGAGAGTTGCATCCTTATGTCCTTTGTAGGTTCCTTTGAAAATCCTCAGTCAGAGTCAATAAGGACAGAAATTCACTTGGAAACTCAAAATGAGTGGTTCCAATCTAAATAATAGAGAGGAAAAATAAATGTTAGTAAAATTATCATTGTTTCTATGCATCTGATAGAGTGAGAACTGCCACTTCTCCAGGAAGAAGTCCTGATGATGAGGTCGTTTGGAGCATAGGACATAATGGCCAGTGTTTGTGAGAAAAGGGATTGAAAAGTTCTAAGTGAAGTTGTAGTTCCTATAAATATAACCATGGCAGAATGTGCCACTGAATAGTCTAGCTTTATCCATTTATTTAAAATTGGAACTTACCTGATATCAGTGTTGCCAGTCTCCTGGACTCTGGTGCTGAGCTGCCTTTCTTGTATCTTGCATCAGGCAGACAAGTAGGCAGCATCTTTATCTCTTACCTTCTATTTAAGACGGCATGAAACCAGTTTTAGCATTCTGCTTCTTGGGGTGAGATGCAGCGAGCAGCATTTCATGATTTACTGAAGTTTTCCTCTATTTGTAAAGATGGATTATAGCACAGCAAGGCTGATGCCATGCACCCCAGACGGGGAAGTATGTTTATCCATTATTGGCATTTTGTTATATAAGAAACCATAACCAATTCAAAGACATTGCGGCAGTACCTGCCCAAGCAGTGTACTGTACGCAGAGTCTTAGTCTAGCTGCTGATAGTGGATGCACTCGCGGGTGTGAGTGTGGAGGGGTTCT